GAGACGCATGAGCCAAGCGCAAAGTCTCGCCCAAGGTCTCCAAGCCAATCTCCAAGCCGACCGGCGTTACGGTCGAAGCGAAGTCAAAGCACAGAACGTCAGACAGAGTCACCTCCTTTGGAAGGAGCAGCTTGCAAAACATGCCAGACGATTTGCTGAATCTACCGGAGTTGTTCGATCTCCGGAATCCGATCCGTCGGCTCGAGCATCCGCTCCAAGCAGAGCCGCATCCAAAGGACCGGCGTTACGGTCCAAGAAAGGAAAGGCAAAAGGTAAAGGAAAGAGAGCAGCCACTCCACGTGGCGCGAGAATGGCGAGCCCGAGCAGCCCGGGCACCATCAAGAGAAGCTTCACGTGAGCCTGCCGACCGACATTCCGGTAAAGGCAAGGAGCGCCGAGAGCCCGGACCTCGACCACATGGAATGCACTCTGAAGATCGAGCAGTGTCAGCTATCCGACATTCCGGATGGCCTTGTACACATGACCGAGTTCCGACATCTTAATCAGTGAAACATGGCCTACTGCCGGGCGGCGAAAACACGTTGGAACCTAGCAACGCAACATGAGTCATTTCTTGCCAATCGATGCCTTGTTGCTTGCTCGTGAACATATTCGCCCAACTGCCAACGTGGCCCTTGTTCTTTCCAAGGCCACTCTTGAGAAAAATCCGCATATCCAATTCTGCCTCGCCAAGAACGGATATTTTATGACCAAGGAGCCCATTCCATATGGCCTGTTCTCTGCACGCAGCCTGGAATGTTCGTGATGGCAGTTGTGTTACAAGTTGTGGGACGTTCCGCACAGCACCCCGGCAATGAGTGTGGCCGATGAAGGATACTTGCGCTTCTATAGCCAATTCTTTTGCGAGGTCCTTCGGCTCACCACCAGAACACCAAAGGCTATGACAAATTTGATGTCAAGACTCGTCATTGGCCTTCAAGAATGTTAAGAATCGTGAGATCGAGAAGTGGCGCAGCGATAAGCAAGATCAGCTCGACACCCATCAGCTTCACGGCGTGTCCAAGATCGCTGTCGCTGCCGAGACATGGCTTAACTATCTCAGTGTTAATGATGAATGGCGCGATCGAGAGACGGACCTTCGTCGCCTCAAGAAGAAGACTCTATCCGAAACTACGGAAGAGGAATTAGAAGATCTCTATGTCATTGATGATGACGATGATGAGGCTGACGATAATGCCATGGAAGTCGATGCCGACATTCCGGCCGACGACGCAGATGACCAGCAAGTCATTGATACGCTGGATGAGCAGATGATGGACGATCTTGCGGAGGCCAGGGATAAGAAAGGAGTTTGGGTCAAGAAAGGTGAGAAGAAGCCCGACATTCCGGGAAGTTCTTCAGCACCTTCGACTGGTGAAGCACCGTCGTCATCGGAAGCAGTCAGGAAGGAGGCGCACCAAAATGCACTTTCCTTGAGAAAGCAGACCGTCGCGTGGAACCCAGCCGTTCACCTTCAGCAGGCAGACTCCGTGTGTCCTTTTCCTCCGACATTCCGGAGACAAGGTTTTTCGAACCGTGAGGTGATGAAAGACGCCGCCGACGCACAGAAAACCAAGAAGGAAAAGAAGGGGCCCCAGGGCGGCCAGAAACTATGCTAAGTGAAATTTGCCAGCAGGAATTAAGCGCTCTTCTGCCGCGCTTGTGGCCACGGTACATGCCTCGACAAGTCTAACCAATGCCTTTGCAACTCAATGTACCTAAGCTCGATGATCCCAGACTCCCAGATGCCGACATTCCGGCGCCACTGCATGGGTGAGTTTTTCGACGCCATTCGCTCCCGAATCTGAAGGATGGACACCTTTGGACAGACTCGCTGGACGCCGCAGACGACTTCGCGCGATGAAAGATTTGGTGATGAGCGGCGGATCCACCGGCTTTGCCGCGATGGACCATATCATTTTTTAGAGGGATCAAGTAAGTATCACTTTAGCAACCATCCTACTTACCATGCCAGCGAGATTCCATCCGTCGTCAAGCACTGGAACAACCAGAGTGACATCGCCCCGTATCCGATTGTCCGACCTAGCTGCTACTACCAATTCCGCCGATATTTTCCGGCCATGAGATGCGTCAGAAAGTCGACCTTAGCCGGAGCCTTATGGCAGGCTTCCGTGCAAACCAAGGCGACTTCGATCTGGACGCAAAACGACTTCGTTCCGCCACAGAGCACGTCTCAGTTTTGCTATTGAATATGGGCGACATTAACCGTCCTCCTCATTTTAACGGTAAGCAGCAATTGCCCCGAAGCTTCCAGGAAACCGCGTTATTTGGTTCGGAATACCGCCCATGTAACGGTTCTTCTTGAAGCGGGCGGCCTGGAGAGACTGCCATCTTTTTCGTCAGTACCATAAGATGTGCCTTGTCGCCATGCCGGACGGGCACGCGCATCCGATCGCTTGCGTATGCTACGTCCCGGCTAGAGCTTTTGCGCCGCATTCAACTTGATTCAGATCGCCTTAATTGGCTTACGCGCGCGGCAACTTTTAGAGTTATTTGGGGCCAGGTCGAAGAGGACACCCCGCGGGGGCATAACAACCGATAAAGGGGTCCGCGCAAATCTTCACAAAGCGCTTGAAGAAGGCGAAGACCCTGCCGATAATTATGGGAGTCGTCGTTTGTCCAGATACGCTGGGCACTGCCCAAGCGTCAACGATGTTCAGCCAGGTCGAGCCCATTCATGCTGAGGTCCTGCACCACGACGGTCCGACGGTCCGGACTGGAAGGCTGGCTGATTGCAAGCGAACGCACCTCCCTGAGTTACGGATTTGCGCATTCCATTTGAACTCCCACGCAGACTGCGTCACGGCAGGGAAAGAAGCGCTCACCAAGATTCTGGTGACGGCAGTTGCGGACCAGGTATCGAAATTTCAAGCAGGATCGACATTCCGATCCGGCTACAGGATCCGTCCTAAATATTTTAGATCAGATCCTAGCAGATACTAATGAGCTGCGTGAGCCTCGCCAACGCATTACCTACAACTGGGAGGTCTCCACACTTGCCACAGACCAGCTTGCAGCGCCAGAAGGACAGGACGCCGACGTCGACTGCCTTATGCAGATTGTGCTGAATTATGGAAAAGATATGCAGCGCGAGTGAAGAGGTCATCCGACATTCCGGAAGACCGAGGCCGTGTTGGATACGACGGACCTCCGCGTCAAAAGGAAACCCTCATAAAGGTCAATGAATACCTGAAACGTTTGAATCATTTAGATTCCTGCTTAAAGAGCAGCAACGAGGCCTATCACCACCCGTTTCAGTGTAACTTTTCGTTGGCCTCAAGATCCAGCGTTCGAGTCCGAGGTGAAGCATCTGAACAGCATCGAAGAAAGAAGGACAAAGAACGGTCCTAGCGGAGAAGACAAGAACGGCAAGATTGGTGGCAATCCTCTGCCTCTTCCTCATCATGGTGGCAATCCGGCTGGGACACTGGATACAGAGGGTATAGAAGATGGTAAATGACATCCAAGCATTGTCGACATTCCGGCAATTGCGCTCCATGAGTTGCAATAGGTTAGATCTGAATAGGTTTTGAAAATTCCTTACAGCTTTTGTATGTGAATAGACCTTGAAGATTTCCTACAGCCTTGAATTACTTCCGGCATTACGGAAAGTTCACAGCAAGATCATTGCCTTTCGTAGATCTTTTTAGACTAGCGAGACTGCATTTTTGAGTCTTTTTAGATTGTCTGACGTCATAGACTTAAGAGCCAGAATGGCATCTACGGCCAAGTTCTGCGATGCCAGAACTGTAATAATTCAGTTGCACATTTTGCAACCTTTTGTAGTTTTGCAGCCGTAAGCTACGACATGAAGAAAATTTATGTCTGTTTGTATTTTGTAGGGTCCTAGGCTCCCCTATAGGCGTGTCTACCCTATACGTGTGTAGCACCGGTTGTCCGTAGTTAGTTTGTATATATTTCTCTTCAGTCAGCTGCCGCTTAATTCATTTGGCTCAAGACTTTGAAGCCCAATACTGCACTAAGTACCATAGAGAAAAGTGTGCTCGTCGTCGCTCGCACACTTGCATCGTGAGAGGGTCTTACTTGGTGTATTCGATCAGGTCCAGCATACTCTACTGCCACTTTGGGGAACTTACCCCTCACCCCCCCCTTACATTTAAAACAATTTCTGAAACCATCGAAATCAAGCACGGGAACAGTTCACCACCCCCAATACATGATTGCTAAAGCAAAGACAACTCAGGTAGCTGAAGCTACCTTTCGGGATATATTTAAATTCAGCTGCTGAGGTTAACTTCATATCTTTTCAATATTCAGCTGCTAAATTTGTAACGCATTGGCATTTCTGCACTGTGCATCAGTCATGGCATTCTGTGACCACTAAAAGTTGCTTTGTTTATGAATGCTTGCATGCATAATCCAGTATTGCTGAAACAAAATCAAAACACACAACGAAGAAGAGATTGGGAAGAAGAGATTGCAAAGAAAAGAATTGGAAGAAAAGTATCGGGCAGAAGAGACTTGAAAGATGAGACTTGGACGAAGAGACTGGGAAGAAGAGAATAGGAAGAAGAGCAGCTTGAGAAACCTTTCAAACAAATAAACACCACATAAAACAATGCTTGAAAACTCCTGATCAAAGGGTGGCATGTCCTTTCCCTCAAGGCCGTCCTCTTGTTACAATTTACAATCGTTGTTTTATGCGCCAAGTGCAACAAATATCCCCTACCCTTCACGGATAACAGCACACAATGCTTCAAAATAATTACGGCTATGAATTCAATCGACAAAATGCATATGCAGGAATGTGATCAGTTTTTAATGGAAAGGTGTATATATACAAGTAAGATCAATAAAGCGAGAAACACTCTTTAAAGATAAAGCCCAAAGTCTTGAAATTGCATCCCGTCACTTAGTACATATATAATAATATAATATATACATATAATATAATATATATATATACAGTATATACAAAATACATATACAATCACATACACAAACGGAGTCTTCCACACCTCTGCAAATGATGCCATCGTCAAATCATTTGGGACAAGAACTCCGCAGCGATATGTCATCATCTCCTCTGGTACGCATGTTTCCACAGGTTGCTCAAAACACACTCAGCATCATCGTAGGTTGCCGTCAAGGTGCAGAGTAAGGAACGAATTCCATGTCTGTTGCCCACTTGAACTTCAAAGGGATGCTTTTTCCATTCCTTGGCAGCAAGCTTCAAGCTGCAAAGCAGTAAAAGAAGACTTTTGCACAGGCGTCTCGGCTTCTCAAGTCATTACTGTTGGTGGTCACACATACCTGGGGCGTCCACTCTCGCAGGAATGCCTGCTTGCCAGCCATGCTGTCCGGCCATGACAAGACCGAAGAAGATGTTCTTCGATACATAGAACATCACAGAGAAGGCCAGGGCCAAACTTTATACTACCAGCTGATCACGTAGGAGTTCCAAAATAGCATGCCATCTGTGTGTGAGTTTCCTGTTAACCCCTGAGTGACCAGCGGTGACCGGTGACCAGCGTTGCGAAATGACCAACAGAGGTAGCTAAGAGCCAGAGCTGCCTATTACACATGCCCCTAAAATCACTGAAGATCCATGAATATTACCATATGACTTGTGAACTAAAGAGAATCCTATCTCATGTGGCACTGGTTGCACAGGAGTTTATGAAGGCATCATTTCTTTGCTGATGAGGGAGTGCATCGAATTTAGGTGTTGTTTCTTGACTTTGACTCCATATGCTTGGAGGTAAAGTCTCCTGTCTCATGTCCATGTCATGATTTTTGGCATTTTCCAGGTTACACATGATGGGGGAGTTAAGCTAGGATAACTCTCAAGACACTGGCAGCCCTAACTCCTATGTGATTAGCCGGTAGTATCAGTACCAGGACCAAGATGTCAATTGATCCAGGACGGCCTCAAGGACGCTTTTGAAGTACATCCCGGGCAAACGTGCCCACAACATTGAGCGCAAAATGAACCTCATTGGTGCAAATGATTTGGATCGAGGGCCTTGGACCAAGCCCCAACAGTTTAACAGCACACCAAAAAGACATGAATGCATTATCTGACATCATGATGCTAAACCGGAATGACACACATGTATCATGTACAACATTGTAGAACGAAGCTCCCACATCTGATCCTTCCCATCCAACCACTATCCTGTCCTGCTACTCCTTTCTTCCCGAAACAGGTTGCTCGTAACTAAGGAGTTCTTATACTGGATTATACTGGTGATAAGGCAGGTTTCGTGGCCCTGGTTCGCGTCTGCCGCGTCGTTGTGTTGTGTTGCAGGCGCTGATCGAAGGAGTTTCACTTGGAACTTGGATGCGCAGACTACGTGGTAAGTGCAGTGCTTTGGACTTTCCCGACCGCGATTCCTCAAGTTGTTGAGGAAATGGATGAAACGCTCGTTCACCGTACTGGTCACTTGTCCAGCACCAAGACAAGCCCAAAACAAACTTCTGTTCCTGTCGTTGCTGGCACTGGCACAGTTGACACAGGAGCAACGGCGGGTGTAGATGCCTTCAGTACCGGTGGTGGTGCTGCCGGCGGCTTTGTCTCCTTCCCAATCGCATTGAGCATGGTCTCAACAGCACCCTTCGTCAGCTGCAGCTGGGGTGTGTGGAGTCTGCCGGTGGCTTTGGTGGGATTGCAAGTCCCGTGGGATTGGGATTGACGGGCAAAGATAGACTTCGACCGAGAACTGCACGCTTCACCACATTCGGTGGTGGCATCTGTCCTTGCTTGGAACTTCCCTTAAGCTCAGATTTGGGTTCTGACTTCACATCATTGCCGATGGTTTGATGTTCCACGCACCCACTTTGAGACTTTGAGTCTTGCGGCCTGATCCCTCCCTCATTGACCGGACCTTCAAAGCTTTCGTGAAGGCGTGGAAGTAGAGTCACTGGCGGTGCACTCATCTCTGGCTTTGCTCGATGCTCGGGACTGCCGACTTCGGGGCGACTAAAGTGAGACACGTGATTGAACAGCTTCAAGCAAGGATTTGCACATCCAAACTCGGCCGAGGCCAGGACACTTCGGTTGACCTTCACAACGGAGACCAAGAGACACATGTCTCTGCCATGTTAAGAATCAAATTGCTGCATTACTGCTATGTCAAACTCATGATCTCAAGCTCTTGCACATGCTCTAACAGCCGCGGCATTAAAGGAATGCGCCGCCTCTATTTCACAAACGATATCACCATGGGCAATGGCTATACATGGCCTGATCTGGCACCCCCAAAACATGCAATCGCCTCTCCGAACACGAGGACCGTGAAAAAATACGGTGCGTTAGCCGGATCTCAGAAAGTTCGCCTGACGTTGAGACCATGCCACCGGAACTGAGCCACATAAATGGCCAAACGCTGCTGCACCTGACCGAACACAAAGCAATCCCCGTTGATTTCATCTTGTCGATGTTCAAGATTCCCTCCTGTGGCTCTGCTGCTAATTGATAGGCTGCCTGCTTTGCGACGAAAGCCTGTCAAAGGGCCATCCGAAGCAGCACACCTGTGGCCCAAACATCTAAGGGCTCCGCTTCACACGCCATGCAATAAACCACCCTGAACAAGCAAAGCAATCCACCCTAAAGTTGCCCTAAGCAATAATATACCGAATCTTGCATAGCATAGACATATATATATATAAATTACATATACGCATTACGCAGTAGATTCAGTAGATATTTACTTGGTTGGGTTAGTTGCTTGGAAACACGGCTGTTTGGTCAGTCCCAGCTGCGTTTGCAGCCTGGCCGGTGACACTTGATCATGGACAGACTTTCAACGGCAGAAAAAATGAAAAAGATACACCTTGGTTTTGAGAAAGTTGCACCAAACCTGCACGCAGTTTCCCTTCACGTTGTGGAAACAGCAACACTAACCACGCAAGCGCTTCCCAAACGCCAACATTGTACTTCACCACATCCCAGGCTTTATGCCACACTTTAATTTGGCAACACCCGTCACAAATGCAACTTTTAGCTCATCACATGCATCACACAAACTGATACAAAACTACCTGGCGGTCTGAAAACTGCGGCCTCCCCATCTTGATCTCGTGGCACTGGAGTTTTCGCAGGGGCTTTACATGAAGTCGTGGCAACTGGAATGTGTACAGTAATTCCATGATGTTTCTCCTACTCCCACCAGCAAAAACAGGAACACATAGAACCATTCATGTCAGTATAGGTTTAAAAACGTTCACATGCGAGACTTTGCCATAAGGATGGCGGCTTTCATAGCGAAAAAAGGCAAGCCCCTAACTGTTAACTATAAAATTGGGTTCTTTACAGTAATTGCGAGTCTCGTTCGAGTGAGAAACTCACCGATGGATGACCTTGATTCTTGATTGTGCCTTTCAACATCAACTCGCCGATCGGGTGGTTTGGCACGCCTCCAATTGTGTAAAACAGCATGGAATTTGAGCATCAGGGCCGTTTTTCGTTGGTGCACGCAGTTTTTGGCAAGGTGAAAACATATTGGTTCATCTTTGTGCCCAAGACATGAAAGACCAGCTCCAGCCCTTCTCTCTGCGCACAGTGGATGTAATTATCTCTTTCACACGAAGAGCCCCGCATTCTCTTTGTCATTATGTTTATTTGATCTTTCGTGGCAAACTCTTCATCTGTTTCTCTGCTACTTGCTCAAACGACCAACCAAACAATAAGTTCCTTGCATATATCTATCACGTCATATATAATGATATATAAAGAGTAGAGCACACCTCTTTTCTGTTCGCTCTGCAGCAAGATTGTCAATTAATGAGCAAATTGGGAACACAGGAAAAACAGAGTCCCCCCATAAAACTTCGAGTGGAGTATCCCCCCCGTTCCTGGTCAACAACACAGGGAAGGGGGCGTTCCCGGATACTCGTCC